TGGTCCCTCGGGTTGTCTTTTGTTGCTTGCTGGAGTTAGCTGTTGGGGTGCACTGGTAGTTGGTTGACTACTACTTGATGAACTGGCAGTTTGCTCTGGTTGTTCTGCCTCCGCAATCTCCGTTGATGCGAGATGCGCGGGTTTAAGTCGCTCAATAGACAAGTTGGTTGGCTGTCCGTTGATATCAACCTTGAACAGTCGATCGTTGATTCTTTTGATGATGCAATGTGGGCCAGAATATGGATTATCGAGTGTTCCTTTGCTTGTGCCCTCTTGTCGTAAAAAAACGTGAGTGCATTAGTATAGTTCCTTGAAACAAACGGTTTTCTTACGACCGTGGTGTGCTGCTGGAGTAGGATTCAATGCTCGCATGTGCATGCGAAAATCTTCCAGGAAGAAGTTTGGATTATTTGGCAAATCTTCGTGTGTGAAAAATTCTCCGGGTAATCTGAGTGTAGTCCCGTACAAATATTCTGCTGGTGAGGCTTTGATGTCTTTCTTGTAGCATGTCCTGAGACCGAGAAGTACGACAGGAAGTACCTCTGTCCATTTTTCGTTTTCATAACATTTGATAGCTGTGTTCAGTGTACGGTGCCAGAGTTCGATGAGTCCGTTTGAGGCTGGATGATACGCTGTCGTGCGGATTCTATTGCCTCCAACTAGTTGAATTAAAGCTATGAATAACCTGCTCTCGAATTTAGATCCTTTATCGGTGGTTATTATCTTCGGTGTGCCGAAACGAGAAATCCAATGTGTGAAAAAGGCTTTGGCTACAGTTTCTGCTTGGTGGTTTGGAACAGGTATTGCTTCCGGCCACTTTGAAAATCTATCTATCATTGTGAGACAGTATGTGTTGCCTTTACTGGAAGTCATTGGTTCGATTATATCGATATGCACGTTGTCGAAACGTGAGTCTGTATGCAGGAACGTCTCTGGTTGTAGGTGAACGTGGCGTCCTATCTTCGCGCGTTGACATTGTATGCAGGTCTTGGCCCAATCTCTGATATCTTTTCTTATTGATGGCCAGACATAACGTTGTCCAATAATCTTTGTAGTAATTTTACCACTGGGGTGATTTAAGCTGTGAAATGCGTCGAATACTTGACGTCGAAACGCTTGCGGTACGAAGGGACGGATGTCGTGCGCTGAAACGTCGCAATACAGTGCTTGATGATCTGGACCGAATGTAAGTTTTTGAAATTTCAAAAATGTTTGGTTGTCTCCGAGCAGTGTGGTCAGCTCTCCATCTTCACGTTGAGCTTTGGACAAATCTTCGAAGTTGATGATCGATGGAAGTCGTAGTGCATCTACTCTGGAGAGAATATCAGCTAATGTATTCTGTTGTCCTTGGATGTAGGTGATTTTTGTTGTAAATTGTCCGATCTAATTGAGCTGTCGGAGTTGTCTGGGAGAAGCCTTGTCTGACTTTTGCAGGAATGCATACGTCAATGGCTTGTGATCCGTTCTAATTTCGATGTCTGCACATCCTTCGATCCAAGGCCTGTAGAACTTGATTGCTTGGTAGATTGCTGTCAGCTCTCTGTCATATGTACTGTAATTAGTTTGAGCTAGTGTGAACTTTTTTGAGAAAAATCCCAGGGGTTGCCAGTTGATGTTATCTATCGATTGTTCTAGCACTGCCCCCATGGCGATTCCTGAAGCATCTGCTGTAATTTGTATTTTAGCGTTCGGCGCTAGATGCGCTAGTTGATCTACCGACTCTGCTACGAACACACATTTGTCAATGTTGATTTGAAGTCCGTACTCCCTCAGTCGACTGAAAATAATCTTCAAGTGTTGCTTATGTTCTTCGTGAGGTGAAGAAGCGATGAGAAGATCGTCGATGTAAGCGAAAACAAATTCAAGCCCCGCCACAACTTGGTTGATAAATCGTTGAAAAGTCTGGGCTGCGTTTTTAAGACCCAATGGCATTATCAGAAATTTAAAAAATCCGAAAGGCGTAGTGACGGCTGTTTTAGGAATGTCTTCGTCAGCTACTATTTGGTGATAAGCCCTGGTCAGATCGATGGTCGAGAAAATTGTCTTCCCGTGTAGAATTGATGAAAAATCTTGAACGTGCGCGATTGGGTACCTGTCGGGTAGTGTTTGTGCGTTCAACTGACGATAATCGCCGCACGGGCGCCAGCTGCCATTTTTCTTCTTGACCATGTGAAGAGGACTGGCCCATTGGCTTTTTGATGGTCAGCAATAGCCTAAATCAAGCATAAATTGAAATTCAGCTTTTGCCGCTTTAAGTTTATCAGGATGAAGACGTCGTGGTTGCTCAAATACTGGCTGTCCAGACGTTTCTATATGATGCTTAACGGCATGGCGTGGTTTCGGGATGACGGTGGATGGTTTGGTAATTTCCGAGAATTCGGTGAGCATGTCGGTTATAGGAGCAGTTTTATCGAAGCTAGATACTCCTTGTAATGGTGCTTTATCCATGGTTGCTTTGACCGTTAATCCTGTTTCCGAGTCTTTCAGTATCTTCGAGCGAAGATTCAGAGTGAGGTTATGTTTGTATAGAATGTCGGCTCCTATAATCGCGTATGGCACCTGAGCGATGAGACAGACACAACGAATTGGTCGACAAAGTCCGAAATCTAGCATCATTGTGCGTTCGCCGTATGTCTTGATGTGTGTACCATTTGCGGCATAGAGTGTGCCCTGAACATGGTTGACCGGGTCCGAAGGACGTGGTGGAACGACATCCGCTCCTGTATCTACCAGGAAACGAAGTCCGGATAGCTTATCCGTGACAAAAAGTCGGCGAGATGAGATGGTACCGTCAATTGTCGCCGATATCAACGACGGCGGTTTTAGTTTCTTGTCGTTTGCTTGTCTTGCTTATCGGCTTTATTTTTTGGCCAATCACATGGGTCCGTACACTTTTTTGCTTTTTTTTCCGAACCGAATGTGATAAAAACAAATCTTAGGTCCACGCGATCGTCTACGTGACGAATCCCTGGAACGCGAGTTTGGGCGCGAGCGCGAGCGCGAGCGCGAACCAGGTGTTGACTTGCGGCGAGTCACTAAATTACTCACTTGTTTAATCAGTTCTGCGATCATAGGATCAGTTTCTGCTTTATTGACTGCTGCAGTTTCGTTATTACCGTCCGTTTTCTTTATTGCCACGAGTTCGCGGTTATCGACTGTCGGTCGATGTTCCATGATTTTGTCTGCGACGGCTGCTAACGCGTTAAGGTCCCCCGGCACTATTTGTAATGTCATGCGCACATCGTTGGGGAGATATTCCAGAAAGAGCGTTTTTAAATCTTTGTCGTCGATTCTTCCGGGACCGGCTAGCGATCGCATTTCCGCGAGTAGTCTTGGCGGTTTTTTGCCTTGAATTGTCAGACCGGATAGTAGCTTCCGTAATTCTTGTCCTCGCGTCAAGGAATAATGTTCGATCAGCAGTGATTTGAGCGTTTGATAGCGATTTTCGCGGGGAATCCCGATGATCGTACTGCTCATACTTTCGTAAACTTCGTCATCTAGGCTGAATACCAACGCCGTGAATTTCTCTGCTTCCGATGTATATTGTGATCGCGAATTTTCTGCAATTGCGAACCATGCTCGCACGTTGGTACCGGCTTTAAATTTGCGTAGATTTATCTTATATTCGCTATGTCTTCGGTACATGTAATAGTCTGCGTACAGCATTGGCGGCTGCATGTATTGGTACAGCAACTCGGGTGGTACCTGCGATGTTGCCGTCCTCGATGTTGTGGCTTCCGTGTTGTTCCTTTTTTTGGCGGCGTCGCTACCCAGTGAACACATTTCATAACGGCAATATAACATGGAAGTTACATGTAATATCACAATGTTATTCTTGTGATATATAAGGGCTACATAACATGGAAGATACATGCAATTTAACATTTGTTATATGCAGGTAATATAACTGTTATACATTTTTTTGGCGTTACAGTTATGTAATAAAAATTGTGTAATTGTTACGTAACACGCTTGGATCAATGTTAGTATAACTAGTAATATTCTGGTAATATTAATGGAGTGTAACGGAATAACATACAATATAAGACTGTTGATTTGCTTACTGCTCACGTTTTTCTATGTGCCCGGGCTTTTAAACCCTGCATCGTTTTATTTTGCTAGAGCTAATAATGATCTGCGCTTTGCATCATAAATTTTCAATTGTTTTTAAATATATATATTTTGTTTGAAAGATTTAATATTGTGCAGAGGCCCTTTAGTTTACCTTAAGGCTAAAATTATAATTTACAAAATACATAATTTATAATTAATAATTATTAATAATTTACAAGATATTTATAATTTATATGATCAATTTATATAATCATCCATCCATATCGGTAAATAACGTAATTAATCATCATGATGCATATTACCGTTACATGTACCAATTTAGTAGAATGCATTTACGTACTGCTTCTATGTACATATAATAGATATAATGTCAATATTAAAAATTTGTGCAACTGTATACTCTTTTTAAACTTAATTTGTTTCTTAAGATGATTTTTGAAAAATTATATATTTGCGCTGGTTGTGACACATGTAGATTACATATATATAACACTTACATCAAATTAAGAAGTAGCCTACCACGTAAGGCAGTTGGCTCACGATCCAGAGGTCCCGAGTTCGAATCCCACCAAGGTAAGTGTGTTTTTTAAATACGAGAAAATATTTATAATCATAGACTGCATCTTAAGAAACAAATTTAGTTATAAAATAGTAATAAAATGTCAAAAAAAAAATATATTTTTTACAGCTCATTATTACAGCTAGTACAACAGTTGGTGTAACTGTTACGTAATAGTTAAATAACACGTTATGTAACATGTTATATTGCTGAGTCGGAAATTGTAACTTACATGTAAGTTACATGTAACACTCTGGTTGATATAACCTGTTATATTCGGTTACATTGCCGTTGCATTGCTACTATATTACTGTGTTTACTGGGTATCTTGGCCGTCTTGCTGGTTCTTCTTCGCGTTTTCGCTAATATGGCCGTCGTTGTTGAATTCGATGAGGCTGGTATCGACCCGATAAAAACAGTACGTGGATCCACGTTATTGCTACGTGGATTCGACGTGGATTCGACGAAATTACGTGATTCGACGTGGATGTGACGTTCCTGTTTTACTGGGGGAGTTGCTCGTTGTTCTAAGCCTACTCGTCTGGTCTGTTCTTCCGTGGTGAATGCATTACGTTCATGTTTCTTCTAGAAACTTCCGATGGATTGTACGAGAATCCGGATCTCAGAATGCGTCTATCGTCCATCTGCCGGCGCGCGGTCACGCACTTCCGCGTTTTTTGCGCACCTGAACGACGCGAGCGAACATAGACACGAGTGAATGTACGACGCGAGAAAATATACGACACAAGTAGTTGTACTGCACACGCGGTACAACGAATTACGCGGAACTCGATTCGCGGTACGCAAAGTTACGAGAAGCTTCCACTTCAGCACAACGTTACGAAGAATTAGCTCAGACGTTTTGTTATACGTCGAGATCACGTCGGGTTCACCAATTTGTAGGGTTGTGCGCAGCGGAAGGTTAATGATGAAACGAGATATAACTTTACTATATCTATTTAATATTACTCTCGATCTCTTTACAGTATGTTCGCGTGTTACGACTCGTATCGGGAGGAGACTTGGCGCAAAGTGTCTTCTTGAGAAGGCGGTGTGTAACTAACTTAACTAGATGAGCAAATGCGTTAGAAGTGTAGCGTGAGTGTAGTTAGTGTAAAAGGTGTGATTCAGTGTTGCCAATATCCCTACATACGCATACCTTCCACTCTATCCAATTCTCTTTGGTTGGTACGATTGAAAGCTAACTTCAGTAGTCTTTAGATTTTTATCCGTCTACACTACTCACTCGGATGAGCCGAGAGTAGGATCATCTTCCAGTCTAGAACGGGCATAAGAAATATTTGATGAATACTTTAATGGCCTGTATAAGTTGCCTGTATGACTTTGATGCAATAGACCCTATATAATGACGTGATAGAACAATTTTATAAACGGGATCATATTCAACACAAAAAAAAACTACAAAAAATAATTATTCTCATTCTTATGCTCGAAAAAAATCATTTATTTGTTGAACAGTGTTATTACATATGTTATTATTATCCTCTTCTAAAAAGGAGATGTGAAGTTTATTGTTGTCGCTTTTCCGCGATGCCGATTGGTTCTCTTGCTGCACTTACTTCATTTGCAGCTGTCATTGTATATTTTGACAGTTGTGTGTATCAAGGAGTTAATAATGTAATAGTAATAGCATAATGTTAAAGCTAAATAGCGCGCGCGAAGCGCGCGTCTGTAGTGTCTAGTACATAATATATTATATCTCGTGATTTAGGTATCAGATAAGAATGTAGAGCCACAATGGACTCTTCTATGGTATCTTCGCAACAAACGTATCCTTTTACAAATTCACTAATTCAATTTATTCCCGGAAAAAATGTAACATGTAACTATATACATAGATACATGTATTTGGATAAAAGTGCATAATAACGGACCCAGCCCCACTGACCTTTACCTTGACATATGTTGTCAAGGTCATCCTCCTGAGTAACCTTCAAAAGGTTTTAGCCGTTGCTCGTTGTTTGTTAAAAAGTTATGAACAAATGTAACTGAAAAATATGACAGTTTATGAAAGACAGACAAACGTCAGACACTTTTATATATATGATATATCTGTGATATATAGACATTAAAAATTTTTGAGTTAATGCTTCCAGGGGCATTAAAAAATTTTAAGTGGAACACCTCATATTGTAGTATATTGTTTGAAAGGGCATAAAAAAAGAAACATTTTGGCGCAAATCAGAGGTCGATACGTTAACCTTTCGGGAATTATTTAGGGTCAAAGTTCGAAAAAGCCAATTTTTGAACCTAAATAACTTTTGAATGGATCAACGTATCGATCTCTAACTTATGTCAATTTTTCTTATTTTATGCCCTTTTAAACGATATATACAATATGAGGAGTTCTACTTAAGAAATTGAAGGTGACCTTTATGTGATCTTCAAACGCCTATCCAAGGTCAAACCAATGACATTATCTTATGTAAACCCTTGAAACCATACAACTTTTGTCTGAAACATTTTTCTCTAAAATGTTGCATTTACGGACCGACCAAAACTTTTAAATCTGTTATGATGTAAGCACTCACTAAAAATTCCTTTTTAGAAATTTGACCTCTAACGGGGCAAAAAGGGGCAAAATGTGTTTTTACGGATTCCTTGACGGACAACGCCGGACAGGTAAAGCTAGCGTGCACGCGCGCGTGCGTGCGCCAATACAAAAGTTGTATTGTCTAAAGGGGGACATTTGATTTCGTTGTCAGTCAAATCAATCAATCCCAGATAGCAAAATGTGTTCGTTCTGAGTACATATTGTACTCACGTTTATTAAAAACATGATGGCAAGAATAGACACAGATGCGGGTTTATATGTTGCTCAGAATGCAGACATGTTATGAAATCTATAAAACTTTACAAAATAGTGACATAATGAATACATAAATGTTCAATGAAATACTACATATTGTGTGCATATAAAGCTCAAGAAATGACAACAATTTTAAATATTTCATATTTAATAAAATTATTTAAAAACATGTAAATAAATAAGTAAGACGTATCCAACAATTTATCAAAAATTGCTTCGCAGACCTCTGCACTATATAATACTTTTGGTATCACAAGCTGATCTGCAGCAAAGAACATTGTAATTAGGCTTCTCACAAGCTCGCCTCTTATACTAGTGCGTGATGATTTTTGATTACGAGAAAGTGACGCGTGGTATAGTCGCGTCGCGGCAGCGTGCGGTACTAGCGCTCGCGGTAATTGTTGTAAAATTATTTCCACCAGGGTCAGCATGTGATTATCATGAGTTAACTAAGTAACGTCAATATCTGAGCTCATATATTTCCTCATATACATGTTAACCTGTACTCTTGATGTGTATCATCATAATATGATCACAAGATATACATCACATTTTGATCAATATCAGAAGATCATGACGTGATGAAATCTGATCATCAGGCATTGCTATCTGGCAATCATCTTTATTTCTCTTCCTTTCCGGGGTTGGAAAGGCGTTTTTTTTTTTAGGAAAAACGTTCCCAAAAACCTTTACAATAATACATTCAGTCATTAATCACATTTTACATGGCGTTTTACAGGGACGTACCCAACCCTTTACACATATACCCGTAACCCAACCTGGCCATGTGCGACCTAACATTATATTTCCTTTCCCCTCCCCTTTCATCCGGCATCCTTCTGTCACTCTCCCTCCGTTTCCTCCAGATCCGCATCTCTCTGACTCCCTCTTTCCTGGCGGGCTTCTTCGCTTTTGTCCGGCTCTTCCCCACCCCGCGTTAGGCTCCCTCCTTCCTTCTTTCATTGTCCTTACTTTTTTTTTCTATTATCTTCTTCCTCGCCCGACTCCATCAACAGATTCTCCTCCATCCTTTTCGTAATCTCGTCCTCCTCAGTCCTCTTCCAACCCGCTTTCTTTCTCTCTTCTTTCTTTCTCTTCTTTTTCTCTTATCCTCGTCTTTATCCTCGTCCATTTTCACCCTTAATCTACTCCTTTCCTTTCTGCTTGCCTCCAAAACCTTTCACTTATCCTCCTCACTCCCCATCTTTACTAATATCGTCATCCAGTCCCTTCTCTGTCCTATCACACTTACCTTTTTTACCTCCACTTTCACCTTTAATCTATCCGCAAACAATTCCTTTACCTTCTCCCAATTTGATTCCTCTCTTTCCCATCTCTCCTTCTCAATCCTTATTATCACATTCTTCCTTCTCTTCTCGTTGTCGCTCCTTTCAGACTCCTCCGCCCACCATTTTCTCTTACCAGTCTTACCCTTACTCTCTTCACTATCATTCCTCTTCCTTTTGCCCCCGCTCTGTTCCATCCTATCCACCTTTCTTTTCAATCTCTCTACCTTCTCCTTCATCTTCTCCTTTCTTCTTTTACATTCCTCCTTAACTTCCTTTATCATCTTCCATACTTTCTCTTCCACTATCTTTTCCACCGCCTCCTTCTCTATTATTATCTTCCCTCTGCATTCCATCTTTCTTTGGTTATTTTCTACTACCGCTCGCTTCGTCTCACAGCTCGCCCGCTCTACTGCCACCACGTGCGTTTCTTGCATGTTCACCTTGCTCTATCGATCCCTTCCATCGATCTTTTGATCTCGCCGCTTATCCGTCGACACACGTTGCGAAGACGCGTGTTGCGCATCCGCCTTAGTCTTTTCTGCCGCTCTCGCCTCTTGTGCCATTTTCTCCATCGCCCAAGCTCACCGTCAACATAACCTCTCTCTCAGGCCTCCTCATCTTCAACAGATTTCTGCGGTCCCGCTTTATTTTTCACCACGCCTCCATTTACTCCACCTTCTTTCGGTTTCCTTCACGCCTACCTTTCTTTCTCCACCGTCCTTCTCCCCTATAACACCTTTTTCAGACGTTTTTTCCTCTCTTTCTACGCTCCACTTTTTCCCCGCCGAAGGCTACGGGGGAATCCCTCGTCAGTCATTTCGTAGATATCGTTTGCAAGATATTTCAAAGGCGACAGTTTCTTAAATCAAATTTTTTTTTTCAGATAAAAGTTATAGATCTGGTCGAGACGTTTTCAAAATATAAAGCTCTCTTTCGTTAAAAATTTCATGAGATATTTTAAATTTTGTCATAATATTGTTACTGGACGGTGTTCAGTCGCCTCACGCACTCGCACTCGTACTCGCACAAACTCCCGCGGGCCGCAGGAATAACGATCGAGGCACTTGTTTTACTAAGAGAACTCGTTTATTTACAATCCCGGTTACAATCTCAAAGCGTGAACCGACACGTCAGTCCGAATTTGAATTCGCCGGGCTGTTTATACCTACGGCAACGCCCGCGACAAGATCGAGCGACGCCGACAAACTCAGCGCGGACGCAACACTGCCCCTCCTCTTCAGGATTGTCGTCCCGACAATCTAGGAGGGCAGCCTTTACACGAAGACGTTCCCTCTGCCAGGCGGGCATCAGAACGGCTCCTTGCCCTACCCTGAGCTGTAGCTACAGGTTACTGGGCTCCGACTCTTGGCCCCGCCTCGTCCGTAGGAAGTTCTCTTCCTACCAGGGTGCTGACTCCAGGGTCCCCGCTCGATTTCTCCCTGAAAGGGTTTCGCCCCAGGTCCTCACGCTTTCCTCTTGCCGACACTCTCTAGCCGCCATCCTCTTGCCGCTGACGCTGCTCCTTTTGAGGCGAACTTCGGACAAGGGGGGGGGAACTTTCTGAATTAAGACCCAAGGTCCCAACGTCTTTTAAAACTCCCCAAGTCTCTGCCTCGGCATTTGCCCAAGTCCCTCGAAAAACCTCAGTCAAAAACCGAGAAGCAGTCTTCTTAAAAAAACAAAACTTTGGAGTCCCCGACGAAGAAGTCTTGGCTGTTCTTAAGCCCATCGAAGCCTACTCCAAGTTCCGTTTAAGAAATCCTCTTTCAAAGATCCTCCCGCGGGAACCCAAATAAGATTCTGTGGAAAAAGAACATTTTCGAGCACAGTATAATTAAAAAAAGGTACAAGTACAATTAAATTACAATCTCACTCTCACAAACTCCCCCGGGCACTGACTCTAACTAGTTGCTCCCAGACTCCCTTTCTCTAAAGAGAGCTAACCTATCTGCATAGACAACTTTACCCCTATGTTTAAGTGATCTTTGAATGCCATATACCACATCACTGAGCTTTTTTCCACTAAATAAGGGCCTTCCCAAGAGCTCTTTGGGGCCTTCCCCCTTTCGGGGATTGTATAACCAAACATTCTGACTTTCTTGAAAAAGAGCTTGTCTGGCTTACGGTCATACCAAGTTTTGACCCTAGCGAAATTGAGGTTCAACCTCTTCCTCACATTGAAATGTACCTCCTCTAGTTTCTCCCTCAGATTCCTAATGAAACTTCTTACCGGCTGCTATCCCGAATCAGGGGGGCTTCCCTGAAACAAATATAAAGGTAAACAAAGTCTCCGAGCAAAGCACATCTCGGCTGGAGAAACGCCAGAAAACTCATGCTTCGAAGATCTATAAGGCAGAAGAAACCTTGGAACCCAACGATTCCAATCCTTTTGATTCTCGGAAATGTATTTTGCCAAATAATTTATTTGGTGTTGGTGTTCTACCTGACCGTAGTGCCCGTCTGACTGAGGATGCAGAGCGGTAGTCCTGGTCTTTCTAATCCCAAGCAATTCCACTAATTCGGAAAATAGTTTTGATTCGAAATTCTTTCCTTGATCTGTGTGTACTTCAAAAGAAACTCCGTACCTGTAGATGAACTGTTTGAAGAAAACTTCCGCTACCATTCTTGCTCTAATACTCTTTATTGGAATAACTTCCACCTATTTGGTGAA